CTCCTCTTTGATCATACTGCCTGTCATTTTTCTCTCTCTCCCCCGCCCATATATTTATATACTTCCACCCCATATTTATTTTTTATACATTTTTTCATATATACATACGCACACACATATAATCTTTTCCCATACATCCCAGTTGGTCTGCTGTCCATGACCCAGGATACGAGAGGACTGGGACACGAGACTGCAGGGACCCTGCTGGGTGCAGGAGTGCTTTGCTGCGCAAAGCTGAACCCCGCAGTGTCACCAGCATGTACGCAACTTCCCCGAAGGGTGGGAAGGTCAATTTGGATGCACCATCAAACTCGAGCCATACCCAAGAATTTAGGCATGCTTTCGCCTTTGCTTCGGCAGGTACAGTACACCACCGTGCGGCTGATGCCACTGTTACCTGCACTCAACTCCCTGGTGCTTCTTTCACCTATGTGTAATTTACATTTGGGTTTGTTTAGCTTGAGGCCAGCAGACCACTCTTTTCAAGAGCCTCTAATCATGCCAGTCTACCTTTTTTTCCAGCCCAAAACAGGATCTGTGTTAATGTCGGCGCTCTGCATCCTATCAACACGGTGATCAGTTTTCTTAAGAGACACCTGGGTATAAACCAAACCCAAACACTGGTCTGAGGAAACAGCATGTCCCAAAGGAGATACTCGGTGTTCGTTTGGCTCCATGAGCTGCCTTTTCCGAGAGCTCCTATCCCAGCCCGGGAAACACAGGCAGCATAAAGCCTGTGCATTTGAAATTATTCATATCCACTCACTCCTTCCTCTGTAGACAGCAGAGAACATTCTCCTTGTATGCATCTAAACATTTGGGGCTTGTACCCAGCACTATAATGAACAGTGGCCTCAGTGCCTTCTGTTAGGCTGACAGAACTTCCCAGATAAGCTGATCTTTCTCCTCATTTATCCTGGTTTTACGAACAGGGAAAGCCTTCTCCTACCATGATTCTGGAATGGTACTCTCATCACCTCCAGCTCTCCCACTCGACTGCTTGCAAGATGTCCTGAAAACATGCCTTGTTAATTCTGGTCACCCTCCCCTTGATGATATATACCACTCCAAGTGTTAAAAAAAGTTGTAAACTAGTAAGTGCCGTTTTACTCTAATGCTATTAGAAATAAAGGCAAGGGGTTTGTTTTGGGTTTTAGTCAGTTTACCCATACAATTGCAACTCACAAATTCTTTTTGCATCCTAATTTCACACGCTTCTACTACTTAGACTCCTGCAGACTTCAAGCGCTAGCACAACTATTTCCAGCAACACATTAGCTTGTGCACCAGTATATAACTGGACATCGAATAGGTATCTGGTATCCACTGATCTGTTAAAAAAGATCAGAGATACGTGCTGTGGTGGTGTCTGCCGTCTCTCCCACAAGCACTTCATTGCACAGCTTTACATGTTCTCATCTGCTACCAATGTTTTGGTTTGTGCTAAGATGTCACACTGCACAGTGTTCCCCACTCTACTTTCATCTGATTCTGGCTGAATTTCACATTCATTTTTGTCTCGGGTCTCAGCTTGTAGAATTTACTACAATTCCAAAAAGTATTGCAAAATTAAAACACTCTTCTGTAGACTCCATTTGCATGGGAAAATTTCCACTGATTTCCAAATACTTTATCAAAAGGTAGACTTTCCTGACAACCTCCAAGGTTTCAAATAAAAATCTTTCGTCTTTTTTGCACCTATGTTTTGCACACACAATCCCTCAGAAAGTTTTCCAGTAGCATTTCACAGGCTTCCTAGTCCATGGTTAAGGCTTATGCACCTGAAAATTTGTCTGTGTTTTTCCAGCTGTATTTGCTTGTGTAACAAAATAAGTTACGTTCCAGCAAACCTAGTTCTCCTGGGCCACTAGAGCTACAGCATTATTCCCACAATACTCCTATGTGAAAGTTCTTCACCATCTCAAATGCACCAGCAGCTGCAGAAGTAAGACTGCTTTACTTCCATTTGCAAACGACAGATGCAAACGAGGAGTGAAACATGCTGAAATTAATTGACTTTGTATTTTCAGTGTTTATTTAGTTTCCCAGTGCTCTCTGCCTCCAGTTTGCTCAGGTGCCACTCACCTCTGCTTAACAGAGTTTCTGTAGCCTCCCCTCTCACCTTCTTGCCTCCTCCAACCTCATGCAACCAGCCTGGAGAGCTAACTCATTTAGATATACCATTCCTGAAGTCACATTACAGACAGTTCTTTGCTGTCTATGTGGGTTGAAAGACCGTGTCCCTTTTCCTCTCCCCAGTGCCCAAGGACCAGGACACAGAGGCTTATTCCAGGCTTGCCAAATTGATGCTGATGGAAATCTTTCATCATCAAGGATGAGTTTGCTGCAGCAGAGGAAGCAAGACAAGCTCTTGAGGTGCTCTGGTGACTTGCAGAGGCCAAAGGCAGAAAAACACTTTTACCATGTAAGTCCTCAGGGCTGTCCAGCGTGCAGCCGGGCTGCTGCTCAGGTAGCCTTTGCCCGTTTTGCCTCTCCTCACCGAGGGCAAGCTATTGACACTGAAATAGTCCTTCCCATACAACCAGAAAAGAAGGCTGAGTTCATACAGCCACCCAGCGACACTGAGAACCAAAGAACATCCTCTTCTCACTACCCTCTCATTTCTTCTCCCTTTCCCAGCTAAGGCCTTAGAAAATTAGCCCAACCAAAAAAAAAGTGAACCGTTTTCTCCTTGATGAGTGAGCTGAATCAGCCTGCCAAGGGCCAGAGCATCCACACAGGAGCAGCAAGAAGCAGGAGCGCTCATTTTGGCAGTCCTGGACTGCCAACAGCTCTGCCCACACCTTCAATTCCTTCTCCTGGCTGGAATCTCCAGCTTGGCACTTCATGAAAATATATGTATTTTTATGGTAACCTCTAAGTAGTTTCTTGCACTTAAACCATATAAACTATTCAACTTAACTATAAAATATACTAAACAGCAGCTAAAAAACCAGTTACATGACAAAACACATTTTAAAGTGTAATCTGAGACTTTTATAAAAATACATTAAGTTCCACTTCTTCCTGATAATAAAGGTGCTGACCTTGGTCTTCTCTGCTGCTTTCAATAGGACAGTAATGGGTTTTTACATGCTATTTTTTCCCTGATATATAATTTGCTATAGTTAACGAGCTTAATGCAACGCATCCTGCCCTGGCAGTAAGCAGAGCTAGCAGTAAGGGGAGCCACTGGCAGAGAGCAAAGCAGAGACACAGTCCTTAGCAAAATGCAAACTTTAAAGCTATACACGTGCCACGGGATTACCAGTAAGTGGTACCTAGGGTACCTATGGTAAATGACATTTCTTTGTAGACTTAAAACATTTGTAACATATGACAGAAGGTTGCTTTAAAATCCTCTATCAGCAGAAACCCAGCCTGACACTGACCCATGACACTTCCAAACACCATGTTTCACTGCTCACCATTTGCCACTTGTCACCCACTGTACTCAAAGGAAAAGTTAATTTGCAAAATCTGCCAGTGACTGAAAAGTTTTCAAATCATGTATGAAGAAAAAATACATCTGTATTTATACATCAACAGAAAAACAGTGACTGGCTTCTAACCGGTGCCTTGGTAGCACACCTAGGCTGTTGAGAACCATTGCTGCTGTACAACCAGTGCTCCAGCACTGCTTGCCTGTGGCACAGGCAGAGGACACATTCTCAAGCTACAACAGCTTGAGAGGCTACCACCTTCAATACTTCACAGTCGTCTTTTAGAAGAACTTCAGGTACTTCCAGCCTGCTTCAGTGCAAATCCAGCCAGGTCACCTTTGATCAGCTTCAGCTGCGACTGGAGCCATGAGGGCTTGCATTGCACAGATGCCAGCAAGGGGTTACCAGGGCTCTGTTGTAGTAATAGCTCCAAGCAGTGGAGTAGTGTTGCCTTAAAATATTACAGCTGTTCCTAAAGCAACTGTCTAGCCTGGAGCAGAAAGAACTTCTCCCCGTCTACAGCAGCACCAGGAGAAGGCGGAGGAGGAGGAAGAGGCATGAGCATATACGCCCAGCTCCCCAAGGATGAGCAAGATGCAGAACAGATCAGCACTGACTGGGCATGCAATGCCCATCAGCCCCACAACGCAGCCACAACATAACTTAATTTCCACACCCGTGAAGCAAACAGCATTTCGGGGTATCTGGCTCCTAGAAGGACCCATGCTTTTGCGAGTAGCTTTCCCAGCTCTTCTCAGGAAGTATAGGTCTAGTATCTTATTAAATATGGTGAGTGGGTCCACACCATTGATGGTTACCAGGAATGACTGCTACTGAAATCTAAAGTCCTCTCCTCAAAGCTGTAGGATGAGGTAACAGATTAGTATCTCACTTGTCGCAAGGGGGATTGAGGAAGTGGAAGAGGAGGACCCAGGCTGGTACCACAGACAGGCTGGAGGACCACACCACTGATCTCCTTTGTAAGAGTCACAGTTAACATTGGGTAAATAATCTTTTTCCCCAGCATATCACGGTTAAACCAAGTTGCACATACTTAGTCAAATAAAGATCGTATCATTCCTTCCCACTCACTGCCTGCTCCAGTTAAGAGCAAACTCTGTACTTGGAGGTTGGTAGGATGCTCTGAGGAGCTCCCTTCCAGGTCTCACGAACTGGCACATTACCAGAGGAATATGTCAGCATACATGCCAGTGTACCTACAGTCTGACAGGGCAGCCAGCTGGTAACAGGCACAAATCCAGCCACCTACTTGGAAAGCCACCGAGCTGATCCTGCCCAGCCTTTTGGCACACCTATACGGCAACCCATAAGTAAGAAAGAACTGAAGGATTTGGGTTCAGGGAGCAACACGCAGCTGTGGCTGTTTCTAGTACACACCAATTCTCCTCCTGCAAAAGGCTCAAAGTTTTGGAGAGAAGACGTTTAGAGGCCGGTTTAGATGAAATGCATCTTGGGCTTACTAGCAAAATGTTTTCTAAATTCCATCACAAGTTCCCTGGCTCTTACTAATACTCCTGGCTGGCAGATTATCTCAATGGCAAGCTGAAATAATGAACCTTATCACAAAAGAATAAAACAGTAGACTTCCAGGAGACACAATCAATCATGAAATGGAGAATTAATCTCAAATGAGAAGGAGAGAAAACAAAGATGAAGAGACACGCAATAACGAGTCACCTCATGAATCTTACAGGAATCATATGGGATGAGAAAATTGAGGATGAATTTCCCTGAGTATCTATCTAAAAAGTAATGGGGGAAAGTAATTTGTATGACTGATTATGAAATGATAGCATTCTCTTCTGGAGAGAGGAAGTTCTGAAAGCATGAGACCTAACAGACCTCAGAAGTAAAACAAATTCAGGGAATTGGTGGAAGAAGTTTCTTCAAAAAACCAGATAACCTGAAGGAAAAAAGTGCAAGACAAACATCAGGTGGTTCAGGCTATATTAAAAAAACTCAATGGCAAATATCAATGGAAGACAGACAGGAAATAATAAGAGATTATTCTGGCTGCACCAGAAACTCCGCACTGATCCAAGAAAAAGGTGCAATAACAAAAAAGAAAGTAAAGGCACGTAACAGTATTAAGGAACAAGACAAGCATGCAGGTGACAAATGCAGAAAGGCTGAAATGCCAAATGAGTTTCAATGAGCAAGAACAAAGCCTATGCCACCAAAGAACTGAAGTTCCACTGTTCTGTGAGAGAAGC